TCACTATGACACCAAATAGACTCATTTTAATTAACTACCTTTAATTCAAGAAAAAAATAGCTAACAAGGAATCATATTTATCCTTTTCTACTTTTGCTTTTTGTTCTTTACATTTCTTCATTGTCTGTTTGAACTCAGCTTCTCAGTACGCCTTTACATGTGGCCACTCGCACTGGTGTAGCAGATGTTGTGGAACATCTGATAAACAATGGCGTGGATGTCAATTCTCGTGACCGTGTAAGAAATACCTTTTTTTCTGACTGCTTGTCTATTTAACATGTAACTTGCACCTTAATCCACTTTTTAATGTAAATGACCACAATTATACACGCGCAGAGGCTTTTGTAAGAATCATACTACCCAGATTTCCTTGTAGTACAGGTGAGACATAAATGTAATATGAAGTTCATGCAAATATTTGCACTCAAAGTCACAAATGAAACAAAATGAAAACTAAGCTTGAGAAAGATGTGCTATGGTTTTATGATTTAAACATCTTCCTTTTGAAGTTTAATGTCAAATTCTCAATCTTCTTTTTTCTTTTCAAGATAGCCAAGCAATTCTCTATTGTAACAGTTTCATATCATCTTAGATATTTCAGCCTACAAAGTACAAAATGAAATAATAATAATAATAATAATAATAATAATAATAATAATAATAATAATAATAATAATAGTAAAATTGGAAGGGACCTTGGAGGTCATCTAGTCCAACCCCCTGCTCAGGCAGGTAACCCTATACCATTTCGGACAAATGGCTGTCCAGTCTCTTCTTAAAAACTTCCAGTGTTGGAGCATTCACCGCTTCTGGAGGCAGGTTGTTCTGGAGGCAGGTTGTTACTCTATTTCTACTTTCAGATTCCTAGTGCTTATATTTTCTACCTATAATAATGGCAAACCTGCATTCTTATCTATGACAGACAGACATTATTCAGCTGACCTGATTTTTAACTTTTTAGTATTTGCCCATTTCTTGCTATAGATGACTCAGGAAGCCATATTCAGTGGATCCAGGCTAATTTTAATGCATGTTTTTTTTAATCTATTTATTTGGCTGCTATTTCTCCTGTTTTGGTACTATAAGCAAATTCTTGTTGACTACCAATCTTACATATAGATTTAATTCTCACATAACACTGTCATTGTGCAGTTTGTTTGTTTTTGATAACATAATTTATGAATTTTCCTATAGTTGACTAGCATTATCTATGAACAAGTCATTAGAGTTATTGAACAAACTGGTTAAAAATATTAGCATTATATGTGAATTTACACAGTGTGGTATTGTCATCTCTCTACTGCAGGAGGGAGACAGTGCCCTGCATGATGCTGTACGCCTCAATCGCTACAAGATAATTAAGATGTTGATTTTGCATGGGGCAGATATGTTGGCCAAAAATCTGGTAAGTTTTGACCCATTGTGCATATACCCTGGGTTATGTAACTTACATTTGCAAATAAATCAGTAGCAACAAAAATAACAGCAAAAGAAATGTGGTTTCTTTTTTAGATGCTGTCCAGTAGTATTCAATAAATCAGCAAATGCATAGCCATATTTTGAAGAAATGGAACATTATCATGTCAGTTTAGAGTTTGTCAAATGTCTTTATCTCTATTTCTCCAATACAGGCTGGCAAAACTCCTGCAGATCTGGTGCAGTTATGGCAGGCAGATACACGGGAAGTGCTGGAAAAGAAAGAGCCAAACACAACAGAAATGCCAACATGAGATGTAGTTGGATGAACAAAGCAGACACTCACAATTCAAAGCAAGAATAGTTTGAGATTAAATAAATGTGGTCACAAAACCCCAATAAAGATGCAATCAAAACAAAACAAAGCCAGAAAAACAGTGGAAAAACAGCTATTCTAATGTTCTGTTTAGTCAACCATAATGCTACTTTATCTTTGGCAGTTGCATGATGAGATTACATTCAATAGCTGAGAATTTTCCATTTTTTTCAAACAGGCATTGTGAAATTTCTGCTTGTCACACAGTTGTTAAAGGTCTGATAAACAACTGCAATTCTGATATCCACTGAGTCAAATTGCACTAAGCTATTAATAATTCCCACAAGTTTCCAACAGCTGCATGATAACAAACTAGTTGGATATGACACAGTTCAAATGTGATTGCTCTGGGACTGCTTGCAGGTGCAATAACCATGTGCATCTTTTCCTATAACTGGCCAAGTAGTGAATGGCAGAAGAGACTCACAGCTTGAGAAGCAACAGCCTTTCTGAGTGCAGAGCAATCTGCTTTCAAGCTTCCAGAAAAAAATAAAAGACCAGCAATTCAATGGCTACAGGAAAAACCATTCTATAAAGGAAATGTAAAAACTTTCTCCACAGCTTTTGCTTTTGCAAGCAGAATGTAAAGGAGACTTTAAACTGGGCCTTAACACTGTTTGAATAGATACCTTTTTACCAGGGAACTGAATTTTTTTTTATAAAAAAAGCACTAAACATATTACAAATGTCAACAGAACTCACCTATAATTACTATTAAATAATTGAAACAAATTAAAACCATGTACAAAGAGATTACAAAAGCAAAATTGTTTAAGGGGGTAGTGGAACATCATCACCAATTAAAAAAATGTAAGAGTAGAAACATAGAAAAGCAAGTAAAAATAATGACAAAAGATCACCATTACATACAAACTCATAATAACATAGAATAGGTAGTTGCATGATTCTTGCATTAAAAGAAAGATTAACAAGAAAAGTGAACAATCCCTCCTTTACAAGAGCCGTGGTGGCGCAGTGGTTAGAGTGCAGTACTACTGCCTGCCAGCTGCCAGCAGTTTGACAGTTCTATTTTCACCGGTTCAAGGTTGACTCAGCCTTCCTTCCGAGGTCGATAGAATGAGGACCCAGACTGTTGGGGGTAACAATCTGACTCTATAAACTGCTTAGAGAGGGCTGTAAAGCACTGTGAAGAGGTATATAAGCCTAAGTGCTATTGCTTTTGCTACTGGTATTTACATATCAATTTTAAAAATGCAAGGAGTGTAAGAAGAAAATGCAATATGTTATGAGGGTAACAGTTGCAAAGTTGCACAAACAGACACAATATACTGAGTATGAGAACTCGGTACAAATTGTGTTATTTCTATGGTCAAAAATAGTATCAGTGCTGATTACAACAAGGCTACAAATCATGTAAAAACACAATACTCCACTCTATAGTCAATTTAGACACAAAACTAAAGTTGAAAAGACACAAACATGTGTTGTCTTTTTGTTTATCTTCTAAGTTTAAAACAGTACAAAAGAAAAATGTAACTTTGATCTAGCCATCTGTTAAAACTATCTACCAATCACAGCAATGCACGCACTAAATATTAATTTGATTAATTCATGTCCAAAGCATACATTTCAGAGAACTGCAAAGTCTGACAACCTGGAGAACCTATCACATTCTAGAGTGTGAACCTAAGCATCAGTTGGGTGGCTGCCATGACCTTGTCTGCTGGCCTTACTTTCCAAGTTGCATATTCACTTAAGAACAATTCACTTGAGGACATAGGACAACCTTTGTTTCTTTGGCAGAAACGTCATTTCCAATATTGCATAAGATGCATTCCGGGTGAACAGGGCAGCCAAGGCTAAATTGGTTTAACAAATGGAGATCAGATATGTTGGCAAAATAACAAGAGTTATTATTTTGTGCCCATTAAAAGCACTAACACCCTTCAGCAGAGAAGTAAAAGAAGCATGTGAACAAGGCACATTAAACTGAATAAAGAAAATGCAAACTCTGCCATGTTGCCACTCTCTAGTCAGCACAACTCTGATGGAATTTTTCTATGGATAATTGCATTGCCTAAACCTAAATGGTATCATGGTAAGGAGGGAAAGTACTTCTGAAACATTGGTACAGCTAAGATACACTTAAGCAGGTCTCTTTGAAGGGCTAGGGGCATGCTGAAGACATATCATGAAATGCCCCCCAAAGATGTTGCCAGGGCATGTTTGTGTCATGATTAGGTGAAAATGGGGAAAAGCCTATAATTCCCAAGAGTAACCTCAAAGTTTATAAAATCTGTTAGGGTTTGTCACTGCTTACCTGGGGGGAAGGACGAGGATTTGAATAACTGAATGGATCTGAAACAGCCAACAGATGCCAGTGCTGTTTATTAATGGAATTTATAGGTTGCTCGTAGTAGTCTCAGACTGGAACAGCTATAAATCCCATAAACAAGCTCAAGGGATGTTTCTGCTTTGTTGTGACAAAAGGCTATAAAAGCCTAATTTATGTCAAAGCAAATAAACCCATTCTCTCAGCAACCTCTTTGCTTAACTGTGGATTTTTGAATAAGCCACGTTTTTAGCTAAGCATGTATTTGTGGGGGCAAAATCAAATAAACCATATTATGACATAGAGCGCAATTGCCATTTTGCTCTCTCTTTTTGGCCTGTGATTGTCGTTTATACTGCTGGTATGGCCTATCCTGAAAGGCACTTTTTTGTTTTTTCACCCTAACCTCTGGCTTTCCCCTCTTCTTCCTCTTCCCCACAACCGCCTTTTTCATGGATTTTATCAAACTCAGTCCTCAAATACTTCCATTTGTATACTGCTTCGAATAGCATTGAGTGAAGCGGTTTATAAACTCATAGATAAGGAAACCCTAGACCAGGGGTAGGCAACCTCGGCTCTTTTATGACTCATGGACTTCAATTCCCAGAATTCCTGAGTCAGCATAGCTGACTCAGGAATTCTGGGAGTTGAAGTCCATGAGTCATAAAAGAGCCGAGGTTGCCTACCCCTGCCCTAGACTCAGAGGGAGTTTGGCCTACTTCCGTATGGGATCAGGCCCAGCCTGAAAGATGAAAAGGAACCGAAGGGAGGGAAGAGATGAACCGGCACCTGCTTTCTCATTTCAGTTCTCCTAAAGGAGGTCAGCCAGCCGTGTCCGAGCTGAAATGTGAGATCTGACTTCCCGCCCCTCGGGCGGTCCCGGAGGACTTTTCCCCCCGCCTTCTTCAAGGGATCCGGTGGTCCGGGACGGCACAGCATTCGCGTCGGGCAACAGCGGGATGGCCAGGGCGACCCTAGCCCCGCGCTTTCTGTGCCCCTTTTGGCCGCGGACCCCTTGCGCGATCCCCGCGGCGGGAGGTGTTCTCCGAAGGTTCTTGGCCGCAGCGGCACCTGCTCGCCGCCTAGATCTGCGGGGTATCTATCCGCCCCTCGTCACCCCTTTCACGTCTCAAGGCCGTGTAGATTACGCCCGGTTGCAGGAGAATCTGCGCCTCTACGCCGAAATCCCCTTCCGAGGTAGGGTTGGCACCCTGGAGGGGAGAGGGACACGTGGGGTCCTTTTTGGGTACGACATCTGTCAGGGAAGGGAGGCGAGAGGAATGGATGCCACTCTGCCTTACTTGCTGCATCCATGGCCAAGTTCTGTTGAATTTGTTAACTAGCTTGTGGCTGTGGCCCATGATCCCTGTGGAAAGGGGGGGATATATATATATTTTAAAGAGTTTCCAATATGCTTCCTTTTGCTGTCTAAAATCAACCAACCACCTTACTCTTAGGGTTGCCAGGTCTGCTTCCAAAAAATAGCGGACAAGCGGGTGGGGGGTGTTTAAGTAGTAAAAAAGTAGACTGTACAGCTTTAGATTACGTACCATTTCATCATAAAGCTTTTGGATAAAAAAAAATGTCCACTATTTTGTGAAAAAAATAGTGAACATAAATGTGAAAAAGTGGACTGTCCACTCAAATAGTGGACACCTGGCAACCCTACAAGTTACTCTTCTGTTTTCACAGCTGTGTGTCTATGAACTGAGTTTACTATCATATTAAGCCTCTGTGTCACTGTATATAACTTGTTTTGTGAACTGAAACATTGTGGTTATGAATCCAACTAGTGGTGGTTTATTAGTAAATTCTAGTTAAATAAAGTGTGATATATTAACTTGTTCATAAATGCTGAACTCAGGCCATCTGGACAGACTTCTGTTAAAAGCACATTCCTGGCATGGAAATTACTCAGTTTCGGGCAAGAAACCAACATGTTTCACTGTGGAGAAAGTGCAATCAGTAAATTGTAGCAGGAAGGCATACACCTGTTAACGGCTGAATATTATCCAGAATTTTGTTGTTGTTGTTCAGTTGCTAAATTGTGTGCAACTCTTCTCAACACCGTGAACAATAAAACACTAGGGTTCAACTGTCTTCTACCGTCTCCCAGAGTTTGTCCAAAGTCATGTTCATTTCATTGATGACATTAACTAAGCATCTCATCCTCTGCCATCTCCTTCTCCTTTTGCCCCACTTTTTCCAGTTTTGTTAGTTTAAGAAAGATTAGGAAAAAAGAAATTGACCCTTCTTACTTTATTAGTGCTTTCAAAAGGATAGGAAAGAGAAGCACAGCCAAATTATTTTGTATTCAAGGACATGCATAGTTGCCCACCCAGACTTTGGACCTAGTAAATGGAACATGGAGGAACATGCACTGGATAGCAGATTTTTCCTATCTCTGAGTAATGTTCTACTAACATTAACTAGCAGATAACCATATTAAATCAATAACAGCTTGTATACTTCTTGAATTCCCAAGGAGTGTATTCTTTCCTAAAGCTCTTAGTTCATCTGCTCTTAGGATAAAGCTGTTGTGTTTTCATGGAAGTGATCATATGTCTCACTATACTGTCAAGTAGAAATTCAACGTATTATTGCATCTTATTTATTTGTGTATTGCATTTATTTTTTAATCTTTCTTTTGAGAGAAGCTGGAGGTTGTAAATAGAAATCTTTACTTTTATCCCCATAATAAGTTGTGAGGTAACTTGGACTGAAATAATATTGCAAAGTCCCCTACTGAATAATGTTCCAGTTGGGATTTTAACCTGAATCTCCTCAGTTCAACTGTTGGTAAAAGTTAGACTAGGCTTTTGCAATACTATATGCTGAATCTACTGAATCTACTGAAAAACATAAGCTGAGTCAAAACATGGCAGTTAGGCTGCAGGAGATGTATTCCTCTAAATATTATTATTAGGTGACGATTGCCATCAATCTGACACATTATCCATAAGGCTGGAATTAATAATAGTTGGAGTTCAACAGTATATAGAGAACCACTAGTTCCTTGCCTCTTACTTCAATGTTCATCTGGAACATGTATCTCTCTTGTTTTAAATATGCTACTATGTATTTCAAACATAAATGAAAATGTGAGTTGTGACTTTTATACAGTAAGTAACGGAGGACCAGAGTATAAAAGAGCTTTCTTCCACTTCAATATAGTATTTTAAACTTCAGTATTTGTAACCGAGAACTAGACATTTAAATGGTAGTGCCCTTATTTTGGAATTCATTCTCAAAAACAGATTTGTATATCACTTCCATCTTTTGGATGCAAGATTAAGACATATTCACCAGACCTTGACTAATGTGGCTTGTTTACTGTTGTGCATAGACTACCAGTTTCTTAATGCCTGCTGCTTTTTCTATTGTTTGTTTACCTTATTGTTCTATAACGTTAATTATTTAATTCATTGATGACGGTATGTTGCTTTGGAGAATTTTAGTTTAAAAACATAGGTAATCCTCGATTTAGAACCACAATTGAGCCCAAAATTTCTGCTGTTAAGCAAGATGGTTAAGGGAGTGTAGGGGTCGCCTACACTACGACCTTTCTTGCCACAGCTGTTAAGTGAATCATTGCAGTTGTTAAGATAGTAATGCAGTTGTTAAGTGAATCTGGCTTCCCCATTGACTTTGCTTGTCAGAAGGTCGCAAAAGAGGATCACATGACCCTGGAACTGTCATAAATACATGCCAGTTGCCGAGCATCCAAATTTTGATCACAAAACTGTGGAGATGCTGCAACGTTTGTAAGTGTGAAAAATCGTCATAAATCACTTTTTTCAGTGACGTTGTAACTTTGAATGGTCACTAAATGAATGGTTGTAGGTCGAGGACTGCCTGTATGCATACTTAAAACCATAGTATCGGTAAGATATATAGCTTGGTGGAAACTTAAATATCTACTCAGTGTTTTATTTTCTTATTTCTTTAGGTTTTGTAGTACATGGCTCCAATGGGGAAGCCCCCTACTTGACACAGGAGGAATGCCTGGAAGTAGTGATGCGGGTGCACCAAGCTGTGCCTAAGGAAAAGCTCCTGCTGGTTGGGTCAGGATGTGAATGTGAGCAATAAAAAAGACTAGAGGAGTTGGCCTCTTAGCTGACCATACCTTATATAAGGATTCTATGTTTGGTGCCTTATTTGACCCTCAAAAAGCTCCTAATATCCCAAGAGCTGCCCTTTAATTCACTTATATTTCTTTCCTTAGCAACCCACTGCACCATTGAGAAAACAAAACAAATGGCTGACAAGGGTGCTGATGCTGCTCTTGTGGTAACTCCTTGCTACTTCCGTGGAAGCATGACCAGTGCTGCCTTGATCCATCATTACACACAGGTAAAGAAGTGGGTCAGGATATTCTCTGATTTATATTTACTAGAGATGACTGAAGTGGTCTCAAAGGTATCACATTACACCTTGAGCCAAAAAAGTAAAGCTGACATTATGGCTTAGTATTATGTATAAACCAGATCAGATGATTGGTACTAAAGAAAGTTTTGAAGGCATGATAAGATGAGGTTACGAACGGTGATGGAGCTGTTATGTATTCCTTATCTGTTACATGTTGTTTGAACTTGAAGGTATTGTTAGAATTCCAACAAAATAGAAATTCAACTATTTTTTTAAAAAAAATCTTGATTCAGATGAAATTTCTTACATTATTTAGTGGCTGATTGGAGATTGTAGTACTTTGTCTCCTATTCTTTTGCTTGAAGACTGAGAGTTGAACAGCAAGCTGAAAGTGAATAATGGGAATTTGCATCTTTCATTCTTTTTCATTATAGAGTTGAGACTAACTTCTCAGTGTTCATTCTCAAGACTCTGAGAATTTCACAAGCAGTTGAAAAGGCTTTTCTATATCTGGGTCCTCCACATTTGGAATTGCTCCATATAAGATTTTGGAATTGCTCCATATAAGATTTGGCTGCGTTGGGAATACTGGGAATATTGGAAATTGTAATTCCAACGTATTTGAAAGATGCCAGCTTAGAATAGGCTGAGTTAAAACAATTGGTAGATCACAAGCCATTCTTGAAGTCATGGTAATTGCCATAGAAGGACTACAATTCTGAAATTTGCTGTAGTGAAAGAATGGACATATCACAATTCAGCAAAATATTATATTCCAATGATCTATATTCTACTGAACAGGAAATGCATGGAACAGTTCAGTTGTCCAGATTCAGTCTAAATACTGAAGTGCAATAACAAACTGAGTAAAATTCAAGGCAGATGCAATTACAATATCTGTGCAACAGAGGTACATAAATTGGGACCCCAACTATGTATATTCCTCTGAAAGCCTCAGACATCCTCCAGAAGTTGGCACCAAAGTATAGTGTTTATTTTGACAGCTGAGAAAAATACTATTAGAGTTAATTAATTATATTTAGTCAATTAAATTCAATGTAGCTTTTATCTTGGCCCTGCCAACTGTTTAAAGTACAGCCCTTAGCATACTAGCCAAAAACTAAGTCTGGCCTTCTGTTTGAAAAGAGAGAATATGGCACACATCCACCATCCTGGTTCTACAATAATTTGAGATTGCCTTGTATTGCCTGGACTTGGGTGAGGGGACTTGCTGGAGAATGATATTGTAAGGGCAGTTTGTTGCTCACTGGTAGATTGTTTCCCTGTGTGCCCACGTACTTTACTACTTTATGCCCCCAGGTGGCTGATGCATCTCCAATCCCTGTGATACTGTACAGTGTTCCAGCCAACACAGGCTTGGAACTGCCCAATGAGGCAGTGCTCAGCCTCGCGCAACATCCTAACATAGTGGGGATCAAGGACAGTGATGGCAATGTGAGTGAAATATGTCAACCAGGTGCTGCACTAATGTTGATTTCCCTCAAGGGGATTCTTATTCCTTCTTGGTGGTATAAGAATCTATGTGTTGGGCATCAGGTTAGGGGAAATTTTGCTAATGAACTTCTGCAATCTAAATTTTTTCAACAGACCTGTCTAGATGCATGAAGCTGGAGACTGTGTGGTCCTTTAAATATCTAGACCTTTATAGAATAAAGTAGAAAAATACAAAACTTTAAAAAGATAACAAACCTTAGACTGGCCTTCTGATGTTTTCACTCTTAATTCCCATTACCATTTTGGATATGCAGACTGGAACTGCTGGGGCTTTTAGGACAAAACAACTAGAGAGATCCACATTGGAAAAGGCTGCTTTAGGAAAAACAAGTGGCATGAACAGACAATATTAAGATGCTCGTTAAGGTGCCCTGTATTTATGACTTCCTTGGCGTGTGTGCAGTATCACCATGAGCGCTCTGTGTTTTTGCTAATGGCACCTTTTGGCATTTCAGTTGTGACTGGTGCTTAGTGCTATCTTCTGCTACCAAGCCAACCTATCTTTTATCAGATTACCCGCCTGGGGCTGCTTGTCCACAAGACGCAGAATGAAGACTTCCAGGTACTGGCAGGATCAGCTGGTTTTTTTCTAGCCAGCTATATTGTAGGTAGGTTGTAGGATAAATATTTCAAGATATGGCGAAGCAATACAGAATAGGAAAGCAGATATTCTAATATTTTAAAAAACACTTAATACCGGTAGTTGTATTATAATGTACATGATTGCTAAGAAGCCGTTATTAAGTTAGTATGCTCTAGAACAGGGCTTTTCAACCAGTGGCACGGGTACCACCTGTGGTATATTGGCACCTGGCAGGTGGTACGCGACCATCCTAGAAAAGTAGCGGGGGAGGGGAGTGAGCTGAACTGTTAGCAGCACCGCACAAGCCTGAGCGAGAGATGGCTGGAGCTGCAGGGCTGTCAGGGCTCAGCGGAAGGGCCAGGATCAGTGCCGCTTTCCAGTTGATCGGCGCTCCTTCGGGGCTGTCAGGGCTCAGTGGAAGTGCCAGGATCAGCGCCAGGTTCCAGCTGGAGCTCAGAGCTGATCCTGGTGCTTCTGCTGAGCCCAGAAGAAGCGCCGATCAGCTGGAATGTTGCAGCATTTCCAGGGTCTTGTGATTTACATTTAGATGCTTGACAACTGATTCATATTTATGACGGTCACTGTGTCCCAGGGTCATGTGAAGTGACCAAAACCTGCTGCAACCATCTAGCAGACGGGGGGAATAAAAACCAAACACCCTCCACCCCACCCCTGCTGCCAATCCTCAACAGAAATGCTCACAACAATGAAAACCTCGGACAGGAGGAAGAGCACCGCCGGGTGGACAGACAGGTGTCTTGCTTGGCTGTGGCTTGGGGGGCACTTTTCTCAGTGCCATTGTAACTTCGAACAGTCACTAAGTCGAGGACTACCTGTACTTTATCACTTTTTTCCTTTTTTGGGGGGGGGTCATCAAGTTTTTGACACCTTGCTAGGCGACTGGTGGTACTCGGATATTGCCATATCCTAAAAATGGTACAATGGGTGAAAAGGTTGAAAAGCCCTGCTCTAGAATAATGCAAGAAAGGCAGTTGGGGTGGAGGAAGTATATATGGGAAGGTGAATAGTTTATAAGCTAGACATTTTCTATTGACTCTGAGCTTTACTCTAGGTGCTACAGGAGGAGTCTGTGCCCTTGCCAACGTACTAGGCAGCCCCGTCTGTCAGCTTGATGATCTTTGCCGCGCAGGAAATTGGGGTAAAGCCCGTGAACTGCAGCACCGATTGATTGAGCCAAATATTGCAGTAAGAACCCTTAAATCTGGGGGAACTTAGAGATTCTAAAGTGGAGCTAGCCTTGTTGGAAAGTTATGGGAAAAAAGCTTAGAATAATAAAAAATTGAATATTTTTGTGGCATTCCCATAGCTGGAATGAAGTCTGAAGTCCAATTCTATCCATTTGACAAAATAATCTTCTTTGAATTGGATGCTGTGCGCCCCATATTGTCAAATTCAATGATAAAGCAGTTCTGCTAAATCATTGTCTACCGACCTCCTGCTTTCATTCCAGTAGTTTGAACTTATCACATTTAAAATTTCTATTTTGTTTTTTAAAAAAAATTTAGAGGAAAAGATCACAATATTTAAAAAGCCTGTGTTTCATTTACATGGTGTGTTTCCAAAATGTGTTCCTCCCCTAAAAAACTTTTAAATTATGAATTTTGAAATACTACTTTCAGATTCATTTTGGCACATTTTTTTAAAAAAAGATAGCCAGGACTTTTAATTCCTTTACTAATTTTCCTAATCCTTCTGTTTTCCATAGTTCAATGCTAGAAATGTGCTTTCTGTGTCTAAGGTACCAGAATAAATTTGTGATGTCTCTTGTTAAAAGACATTTAAATGTAAACTTAAACAATTGGCCTGAATCAATAGTGGATTTGTACTAACTCCAGATCTTACGTTACCTAAGTAAAAAATAATCATTTGCTCTAAGAAAATAATAATCTACATTGTTTCAAGGAGTCTACATTGACTCAAAATGCTGAAATGATGCAGACATGACTTCCTTACCTAGGTTTATGAAAAATTGCAGAGAAACAATTGTCTATCATTACCAATCTTCAGATAGTACAAGTCTTCAGTCTGTGCCATTTTCTGTGGTGCTTGCATGAAAAGAAATTTGTAAACAGTTATTCTGCAATATTAGTCAGATAGTAGCTTTTAGAATTTTATATTGTTTGTGTTCTAACAGGTCACCCGGAAATTTGGGGTTCCAGGTCTCAAGCAGGCAATGGAGTGGTTCGGCTATAAAGGAGGCTTTTGCCGTGCCCCCTTGCTCCCATTAACTGAGACACAATTAATGGAATTACGCCGTGATTTCACCTCCAATGGCTGGCTCTGAAGGACAAATGCCTGGAATCTTGCCTGGAATGCCTGGAATCTTGCTTTAGCCAATTACTATCTAATTGGGAAATGCTCACATGTCTTGCAATTTACTTTGATGCAGCTCATTCAACTCATAGTGTACTTATTGGAGCATCGCTATAGCAACAAAACAGTGGAATAAAATCTTCAGAATGGAGCTTTAAATGACAAAAGGCTGCATCTGCATCTCATGGTTGACTAGAAGCCCAACATTCCTTTGTCACTTAAAATTTCTCAATTCTGCATATCTAGAATATAGTCTTATCTATATTCTATTCTTCAGCATTTTCCTATACCATGATTAGTTCTGGAATCGTAGAATGTTGAAATGCTAATTCTCTGGGTTCAGAAATCAGATATGTGAAATCATAATGTCCTATGTAAAAGATGACATTTCATTCATTTTTGTGACTTACTAGGCACCACTACCTCTTGTACAATAAATTGAGTTTGTTGCATAGTTGTATAATCCACTGAAAAATTGAACATTCCTGAGGTGGTATAAGAATGTGCAGTTAGTAAATAATTATGTGCCATCAAGTCATTTTTGACTTTTAATAACTACATAGATTTTCTCCATTACAATCTACCTCTAACCTATTACTGTATCTATATATTTATGGTATTCACTAAAGTTAGATCAGCAAAATTTTAAGCATTTTTTTAAAAAACGTTTTATAAAACACTGCTACATAGGTCTGAGTCATCCTCAAGTACAGAAGTTTTATGGTATGGCATAAAAATACATTCTTCAAGATAATTATGCTTCTGTTATTGTACCTGTTTCCTGTCTAATAATGGTGCATTATATTTGGAAAGAGAAATGGAGAACCATTCAATAGCATTGCTGATGACTATATTTTTAGCTAAAACATAAACACATTAAGGCTAATTGAGGGTACAACTTCTTGCTCTATACCCAGATCCAAAATTACTAGAAGTTGATAATTGTGTCTGTATAGTCATAGCCCCAAACCCAATAACTATATGGCTGAGGTCAGTGAGAATAGAGCACCAGAATTTAATCAAGCTGTTTCTTGAAGTATTTTATACAATTCCAATAGCATGCATGGAACAAAAAGTGTTATGGAAAATCCCTTCTTTAAGTGGAAAAAGTTGGGGGGAAATTGAAGTTGTAAAGAAGAAAATGCATTGCCTCATAACAGGTACTTAAGTTTAGTTGTACCAGTTAATGGAAGCTAACTGTGTCAACATTTTCTTAACATAGATATGAAAAAGTAAAGGACTTAACATTTTGCCAGCATAGCATAGCAGGCAGTTGCAAATACAAAGACTAGCATCAGGTGAAGATTGTTCAAAGGGGGCAGTTTTGACAGTTGTAGGTCAAAGGATCAAAGGAAAAAATGGAAAGGAATATAATAAAATAGCATTGGAAAGTATTAGAGTAGCCTATATTTATCTAAAACTCACTGGCGGCATTCAATACATTCTGCTAAGCTAAGATTTAACTTTAGTTGTTGGATAAATTACAGCAGCTGAAGTCATGCATTTGCTCAGCCACAAACAAACAAAATGGCATCTTGGCTAAGCGCTGTTTGAACCTACCATTTAAAGCAAATTCATATATTCAAATATGGTCCATTAAACTGAGTTGAAAGAACACCTTTTAAGATTACTAGACAACCCATAACCCATTGGGTAAACGTTTCAGAGATATTTCCTTACCTAGACTGAATTAAATGACCACAGGAGGAAAATAGCAGTGGGAGCAGGAGCAACTTCCATCTTCCTGCAAGTTTGTAGGAAGTTGGCAGGGAGTATTAAGAATGATCACATTACTGCAGCAGTTGCCACAACTTTCCCAAATTTCAATCCCCTGGGAGTCATGGGTCCCAGATTTTGTACACCTTCTATAAGTTTGCCCATCTGAGGTATCTTGATTCAAACAAAAATTGTTGTCCTATAATGCACCATTTCATCCAATTAAAGGTTACAAACCATCAGAAATGAGAGTTTTAGTAGTATATAGATGTCTATCATTGCATACATATGCAAAATGTCTGCTTTTTTAAAAACAACAGCGACTTATATTCCAAAATTGGAGTGGTTATATGATGATTTGTCCTGTTTTTATATTCAGTCTAAACAGATATTCTCATTGCAATGATGGGCAAGCTTTTCAGATTAATTCCCATTGATCTTTCAAGGACTGAATGAGTGAGTGATGGAACTAGAGAATGGAGCCTGTATAGTAGTGCTTAAAATTTTCAATATGATCTAAAATATAAGTTTGGACTTGACCAGTCCACTGTTAGGCGGATTTTGTATGAAGGCTGGCAATCCATCACCACTGTTATCCTCCTTAGGAGTGGTTAACTAACTAAAATAACATAAACAGTAATGTGCGTAATCCTTTGGGAGGTCTCAAAGAACTCCAGGTAACATCTAAGGAACTAAAGGCCTCTGTTGTGTTGATAAAAGTCAGTGCTAATGAGACCACCAATGGTATGTATGATGGGGTTGGAAGAAACTCACTCTCTTCTAAAAAGAACATTATTACCTGTGTATAATGCAATACAGTTTCTAAAAGACCCTAATTAATTCTATTGGACAGATCAGGCCAAATAGAACTTGTTGGCTGGAATGAAGTGTTTTGTTTGGTGAAAGATAAAACATGGCATTTCAGCATAGGAATCTTATCCTATCTGAGAAATGGTGCAGGAGTAGCATGGTTTGGGACTACTTTGCTGTCTTTGGACTAGGATGACTATGATTCCATTATTGATGGAATTATGAATTCTGAATTGGATTTTACATGAAAATGTCAGGATATTCATGAACCGAAACTCGAGAGAAAATGGGTCATGCAGAAAGACAAATGACCCAAAACAGACCAATCCTACAACCACAGAATGGTTAAAGCAGAAAAAAAAGATAATGTTTTGGAATGGCCCAATCAATGTCCTGAAATTCATCCTATAGAAATATTGTGGAGGGATCTGAATTGGACAGGACATGCAAGGAAATCCACTGACATCTCCAAGCTGAAGCTGCTTCTCTAAGGAGCTATGGGAGCGGGCTAAAATTTCTCCAAGCTGATGGACTGATCAACAGAAGAATTTAATTGCAGTTATTGCTATCTGGGTGTGGGGGAGAAGAGTTTTAGAACTGTACACACTTTAGATCATATTTATGCAGAAATATTGAAAATTCAAAAGGGTTCACAAACTTTTAAGCACTACAGCATATTAGGTCAGAATAAATAATGAGATCCATTCTGGATCTGCATAACTGAATAAGGCTAATCCACCTGCCTCAGTACCGTTGGAAAATAATACACCAAAGTCGAGCTTCAGCAACTCTTTATTTGGCCAAGGCCCTTAGATGGGCAAAGACACAAAGGCACGAGGGTAGCATTGACACACAGACATTCAGTGTGGAGATCAGCTGGTTACAAGGTCTCCAGCATGGCACTTAGGAACACACATTACGTGGGTCAATGCTTGACTAAGAACCCCCCCCCCTATTTTAAACAATCCCATGTTTAATTTTAGTGCACAGAAACATAAAATGATTGACAGATAGAGTTAATCTTTATTGACCCATTTTAACTCAATTGTTATCCCACTGAGGGATTTGCTATCACCTCCAGAAAATTTAACTTTTATTCTGCCAGCCTGGCATTTTCATTCAGCCTGCATCTCTAGCAAGGAATCAATTATCCCTTCCATATCATTGCCATCTATTTGTACTATATATTAAGAATGCCCTGTAATCTCCATATTTATAAGTTATTAAAAGCTGTTGTGCTAGATTCCAGTGTTACTTAATGCATTTTCTACAATGGTGTTTCTCAACCTTGGCACCTTTAAGATATGTGGACTTCCTGACGACTTCTGGGAGTTGAAGTCCACACATTGTAAAGGTGCCAAGATAGAGAAACACTGTTCTATAAAGATATACAGTATGGCATTATCTAGGAACAGCTGTCTCTTTAGCTTTACAGCATTGTATAAAAGATGCTGTTGCTTATTTTGGATACATATAGGGCTATACATGTCATTATTGTGTGATATAATATTTTGGACTAGTGATCAGCATCCTGAGATTCATTTTTAAGCAAATGTCTAGCCATTAAGGCAGCAAAGTCAGGTTTGAAACATTAATGGAATGTGTGGTAAACTTTCAGAATCCAAATGAGGGAAGTGTGGGTGGAGACTAAGTATTTGTGTGCAAATAACTTCCAGTTATGAAGTAGGAAGGCATTTGCAAAACTTTGCTTTGTGCTATGATTAGCAGAGGCAAGATTTTAATAAAGTAATGATACTCCCTTTTTAACATTTGTAAAATAATACAGCTGTATGTATATGACACTATGGTAATGAAAACCATGTAATATCTCTGGAGCTTAGTGAATCTCTTCCTATTGTGGCCCTTAGATAAGTGACCTACATCTCATGTAAGGAAGGGATGATTGTGAAATGATGTCTGTCATACAAGAAGCTCACAGTGAAAACGGCCTTAGCAAATTGTGTAAAACACAAGGCTAGAATAAAGAGTGGAAAAGATCCTGGATCTATTCTGGAGCATAAAGCATAAAGCGTAGCAGAACTCAGACATTCTTATTATGCTGATCTGCAAAATTGTTAAAAGTCACATTCAGAAAGGCTAGAATTCTTAATTCCACTCAGTATGTTAATTCTTTGCTTTTTGTATTTATTCATTTATTTTTTATAAAGAAAGGAAGACTGAGCAGTGAGGAATCAACTGGAGGTTTAGGGACATATAAGAAGATAGAAAATTAAGCTAATTGCAAGTTCTTTAATCTTCCTTTGACCACTGGAAACCAACTCAACTGATCATATAACGTTCCAGCTGTATTAGGTTTGTGGCAAGAAAGATGGATGGATTGTACCAACTCAGTTGTGGGGTTATAGGATTAGCAATCTGTCTAAGGGAGAATGCTTCTGACAAAGGAAATGCTATGATCTTGGATGTGATACTGACAGGAGACATAGGCTTCATGGCTGAGTTTTGGCACCAGTTCACATTATAGGGGCCAGGCTGCTTAAAGAAATGATAAAGGCAAGCAGGATTCAGTTATGATAGTTTGCATCCTAGAGATAGTATTTGCCTCTGTGAATTTTGTACTCCACACTCTTACCAACCTCTGGGTTAGGCTGCCAGTCATAAGAAAGCCCTGTATTATTGTAGAATTTATGCCCTTTATGCTGTCAAGCTGTGTGCCATCTTGGAGGCACTCTGTGCACGTTGGACCACTGTCTGGCACTTTTCCCGTCGCAAGAGTTTGTTGTTTTCAAAAAAGCCTTCATTACGGGGTATCCCATGAGAGCCATCAGGAAAAGTCAAAAGTCCTGTGGGAGAAAATAGAACATTATTGTTCAGTAGGAAAGTTGATTTGTGCATGCAGTACTATGAAATATGTCTGCATGTATCTCAGGGGATGTTATTTTTAAACAAACTCTCACTTATGCCCTGTTCCATGCTGCAGCAGAGTTCCCAATATAGATTTAATCCACAATTATTAGCTTTGCTGCTTAGTTATACCCACAGGATGTAGCCTTATCACTCACCAAAGCCATCAACCCGTCCACCCTTGAATTCTCCCTCGAAGATCATGTTGTCATAGCGTGTGAAGACTCCAACACCGTTGAATTTTCCCTGCATAAATTCCCCCTCATATCTGCAACAATAACAGGAGTGTGTCTGATTGGACATTGCTATCTCATCTGCAATCACTATAATAAAGTTCTTAAAACAACAGTACTAAACAAAAGGAAAAGGGCCATAGAAGTATTAATGAATTATCTTAAAATGTTCAACGGCCATTCTACAGTCTACTATTGATCTACATCAAAAATTATATGGCAACAAATATTATGGGATATTTTTCTTGCATACTTGTATTTAAAAAATTCATGCATGCAAAAAGTAGCAATACACAGTCATTCTGCAAAATTCTTTATCATACCATGGGCAATCTGTACTACATATTTATTCATATTTTCTGAAAATGACTCAGATCATGCACGTGTGTACTCTCTTTGTACTAGCTAGCTGCTAGCACTATGCTACTGAACTCACAATCCAGTACCCACCTGGAACCATCTGCAAAACTGAGCACTCCATATCCATTGAAGAGACCATTTTCAAAATGTCCAACATAAATGCTGCCATCAGCAAAAGTCAATTGTCCGATTCCATGTCGACGCCCTAATTAGAGAAAATGAGCAGCATTACTTTTCTATCAGTGGCCAAAAAGACAACACTGTTGTTTGGAGGCCATATCTTATCAATCACTATAGTGACATTTTACTTTATATTAGTTTCAAAATGAAAAGGAAATAATAACAGAGTCCATGCCAGATAATCTGGTAGGCAGATCAAGAATAAAAGGAACCTCTTGTTGTTTGTTCCTTTTACCAAATATTATTTATAAAACATATAAAGGCTGCATTATTCTATGCATTATTACATCATGCACAGATTCACAGCACTCTTTTAAAAAAGATTTGTGAGTCTCAAGGAAAAGTTCTAGTTTTCTAAATTTGACTGTGTAGCCACTACTATAAAGATTCTCATATACCACACTGATTCAAAGTATATCTCTAAAGAACACTTTTTTCCAGCTGAACCCTGTGTTGAAACTGACTGGAAGTGGAGTTGGCTTAAGAAATTGCTGTCCAGTTTTCAATCCATTTTTCAACTTTGATAATGATGTTGGCCAGGTGTTCTGGTTACTATGGTCCCAAGAATTCCTTTCTTTTCTAGAAGTAGATCTTTGAGGGCATGCGATTTTCACTGATAGATCTTTGGTATGCCTCATAAACACTCAGTTGACTCTTCCTTATAATTTGGTAAGCTAAAAATAAAATGAAATTTGATAAATAAATAATAAAATCTTTCTGTCTGATGCACTGGGTGGATGGTGGTGAAAACATCCTTCTTCCTGTCATTTGCACTAGAAAGAGGAACTGGTAGAACTCTTGTGAATTACAATTGAGTTTTTAAAAACGAAAGAAATGGCTTCACCAATTTCTTTCATCACTTCTGCAGGAAACTTAAAGCAAAAAAAAATCCAGCATCTCATCAATATACTGATAGAGAAATAGGTGAAAAAGTCCAATGATCAGTTATTATTTCTCCATACATTTTTGGTATGTTAATTGTACATGCGTATAGGAATCAGTGAAGGGTGCTTCAGAGCACCACTTATCAAAGATAGCAAGAAATCCCATAATGTCCAAAAACCACTGTACCTGACAAAGTACTGGAAATTTAAGTATTTACTTCCTCCCCCACCCCCACCAGAGACTAATGTCCCAAAATAAGTGTGGAGAGCAGTGATCAGTGCTGGATGGGAGTAGGTATGCCAGTAGCTCCATCCATTGGACATACCGAAGCACAGATATCGGATACATAAAATGAAAGTGCAACATTACCTCTGTGGACAACAGTGAGTAGGTTTATTTACCCCAGTCCTTTCCTTCCAGGCTTTACTCTTCATATAGTCATAAGGTGAGGGGAAAAGTTACACTGAAACAGAATTCCTAAAGTTGCCCCACTTTTGAAGAGCCATTCTAGGATTTTGTTTCTGTCCTGGCAGTAGGAAAAGGCTTTGTTCATTGTCCTATTTGTTGTCAGATAACACAGGTGACTGGAGAACATTAATTTAACTCCAAACAATAATCCTATTGCTGCCTAGATTTACATATTGTATGACTTGCAAATCCCATATGATCCTATTAAGTATATTGATGTACTCTGGGCCATCATTAGTAACCAATAGTATACTGTATGGGGATAATGAAGGGGGTCATCTCCATCTCCTGATAAAGATATCTGGGTGAGGAGGGCAGAGAGCATAGTATTCTTAGACATTTTTTCAAAGAAAATCTATTTGCAGAACTAGTTTTAGAAGCTCACCGGGAGGAAGCATGTTCTTTGTTGCCCACCCTAATAGAGCCATTCTTTGCAATAGTCAAGATAGCTTCTTGTAGAAACTATTGCAAAATTGAAATTGAGAGTTTGTAGCCATCCTTCTCTAAAAGCTATGCAAGCATCTTCTTTGTTAAATGGGATGAATCACCTCTACCCACCTGTAATTCCTTATAATGCAAGCTCCTTTTATGAAAGAAATCAGAGGTCTCCTGACAAGAGCATGGATTCCTTTCATCAGCTATAACTTTGATAGCAATTGTTTTTAAGCACAACATAGTTCTCCAATTTTAGAAATACAGTATGAACACAAGGTACATATTTCTTGTTTCTGAGAAAAGAGGTAGTGTAAATACTATTTATTGTTAATGACTAATAGCATTGCAACTGTAGATTCCAATTGTTTTGTTTTCAGTCCAATTTTCTGTTTACAGATGTGTACAGATTTGAAATATCTTTCCTTTGTTTTTGTGCATCTAATATAAGTTTAAAATAAATAAACTCTTTCATTTCACTCTGTTTGTTGAGACTTCTTTTACATTAGGGGGCTTTACTTGTTCTATGATCATTTTCATAACTTCATCTTAATAGAATTCCTGATCTAACCAATTTCAAAACAGTTTATTCTATTTCATAATGACAATAGAAAAAATTATCTGGCTGAATTCTCCATAGTAATAAAAATAGTATGTATCTTTCCCAAGCAGGGTCCCATAAGTAAACCTGATGGTACTGCATCTATGAAAAATTCACTTACCTTCCTTCCATTCCCCACAGTATTCCTCTCCACTAGAGTAAGTGAATGAGCCCTTAGTCAAGGTCATGATACTAACTTTCAGGAAGACAGGATAGCAGCTGCAACAGAAGGTTCAGGAAAATGAAAACAGCATAAGACCAGTATGAAAGGAGAGAACATTAACAAAACTGTGGGGTCCTTGGTGCTCTCTTAGCTTGGTAGTTTTCTTGCAGATGTTTTGTTACCAAACTAGGTAACATCATCAGTGCTAGGAAGGAGTGGAGTTTACGTTTACAAAACTATGCACTATGAATGGGAAAGGTAGACAATGGGTATTGTCAAGAGAAAGGGTACACACAGTTTCTTACTACAGCAGACTTAGCTTGCCCCATTTTGAAATAAGTAAATAATTACCATCTAAAAGGGCCTCCTATAAGTCCTTTGTCTGAAGTAATCTAACTATCACTAAAATCAGAGCAACCATATTTTATTAGATTTGGCTCCACTTATAAGAAATATGATCTGCACACCATCTGAGCTTGATAGTAAACCAGACATCGTTTCTGGTGCTGCACAGACATCACAAAATCATAGTATTCATTTTATGCATGACATTAGCAAACATCACAATATATTTCAGAAAGTATATTTTGAAATTACTTAGTTACGGATTTACACAGTTATTCATAGCTGGGAATGACTAATTAGCCTAAGGACAATATAAAGGACAATATAAAACTCAGAGAAAGTAGTTTAATCCCAAATCAAGAAAAGACAATGTATTTTCTCATTAAATTATGAAATAACTGTGCATTGATAGGATTAATGTTTTTATGGTATTGAACATTAAGAATTTTAATGATCAAATTGACAGCATATGTTATATGGATACATCTAACAGGCACATTGTTTTGATGACTGACAGATTATTTTCAAATGTTCTGATAAAATAAGAATGGGTTAGTGAAATAGTGAAATAATGTATTTAGGATTGAAATAAAATATAGCACTGGAGAGTGCTGCTGTCCAGATTCCAGCTAGCTAAATATCACCCTACAATTCAACTTATTCCCATGTATATTCCTGAAAATGGAATCTTTGAAACATTAACAAAACACAGACAATCTTTGTGTTTTCATATTGATATCACTTAAGATCTTCAAAAACAATTTAGTGATTGAGGATGTGAGAATGACTTCTAAAATACTAATAGTAGCATATTGCAGATAGTGGCCTCAAATCAGACAGTTTCCCTCAGTGTGATAAAAGTAAATTTTTATCCTGTCTTTCCTTAATTAAGTTCAAGAGAGCAAGCAAAGCTACCTCCCCTCTTCTGCACACATGATACCTTAAATTAAAAGAATATGAATGGACAATGCCATTCATTGTATTTCAGGGTTGAGTCATAATAAATGGAAACTGGTGTTTCCGTTAATATTCTGCAATTATATTCGTATGAACATCAATGCAACTAACAGTCTGAAAGAAAATAATAAAAATTAAAATATTGAACTAGATCACTTCCAGTTCAACCATTCCCCTAAATCCTGAACATATAAGAATAAATTTCTTAAACATAGGTTATGATATGCTTTACTCTTATGGGATCCGCCCTCAAATGGTATTGATATAGTAGTTCAGTTCTCACTCCAAAGATTGATTTGCAGATTTCATTCTACAGGTTTTTCTCCATGCTAGTTGTATAGAGAGCAACTTTGTGCTTTCACTAGAAAGCATACAGTATTCAATCCTTCTGCAATAAATTTAAGCCTTACATTTTGGGCTGCTACAGTTTATTAATTTTATTTCGCTGGATTAGATTTAAATGCAGCTTGAGCAAAAGGGCACCATGTATGAAGTATTCATGACTGCAATGTATCTGGACTAGCTGTGGATACAACCTGGGTGGTCTCTATCAAAAAAAGAGTGCAGCTGGATCAACTCAAAGATGCAGGCCACCCTTGCACAGCAGGTAATCAAATGGAAGTAATCTGAGTTGCATACTAATAGTAGTGAAGTGTAATAGAGTTACTGCCTTTCTTTCAAATAGTTGGAACATCTACATGTTTTATTGAACTGTATCAACTGTAGCATAGATTCCAACAGTCTCATGTCTCTGAGATTCTATCAGCCTCTTTGACTTTGCAAGGTTTCTGTACTTCTGAGTTGCTTTGTTCATCACAGCTTCAACAGCCCGAGTTGGCTATTGTATCTGTTATATTCCTATGCTTTTGATAGTCACTAAAGACTAGGAAATAAAAAGTGGACAATACTACATAAGGAAACCGATTCCTTACTCATAATTGTTGCTGCTATAGGAATTACTTATGGTTGGCATGGTGAGAACCATTCTTTCCTCTTTAAGTAATGAATGGCTATGTGATTACCTTTGGAGAGAAAAGAAAAGCCAAAGATTGCTGGAACATTAAACATTACAAAAAACATTAATAATGTTTTTTGAAGCTACAATAACCAGACTGACATACCTAAAAAAGCTATTACTACTCATGCTTTCTTTCATCCTGCATGCTCAACTTGTCTTTATTGTTAGTTCTTCAGGAGCAACATTTGGAGATACATCAACTCCAAAGATAATTATATTTTTCATATATTCATCTATTCAGTACATGGAAATGCACTAATATTCTGCCGGCTTTTCTGTTGCTTTACGCTATATGTTCTGGCTGTAATCTTTTGAGGAAGAATGAGTCACAAATGATCGGTAAGCAGTAATAGTATATGGGAAAAATGCTCACTTCTCAGTCTCAGCGGTGGCCATATTCCTCAGACATCTCCTATTAATGGATTAGCTATTCAGCATACTAGTGCTATATGCTTCTCCTGAATCCTCTGTCAGAGTCATTCTCATACACCATTGGATAAGCTGTTAAGCATGAACATCATTTCTCATACTGGTACAGTATATAGTACACAAAGACAGTAATTCCGAGTGTAAAAACCAAGAGGTTCCTGAGAAATAATCACATGTACTATGGATCAACAACAAAAGATGTTATGTTCTGTTTTCTTGATAACATCTCCAATTCATTTTAAATTTCTTTTTTATTTGTAAGGATCAACTTAGAAAAAAAATAGCCTTTTTTGTCCATAGCAAATAAAGCCAAGATTATAAAAACAGGAGTGCTCATTTACTATATTATATTAAATGAGAAAACTAGCAGCATAATAACTGTGAAGTGAACCAAGATTTCAAAACTAGTCTCAGATTCAAGCCATACAATATCATACACAAACCAATACATCTCATAGGAGAAAGTATAGAGGAATGTTCCCCAACTTGATTTTCTCCAGATGTGTTGGATGATAACTTCCATAATATCCAGCCAGTGTGTCTATGCTGGCTGAAGAAAGCAAGACCGATCATTCAATATATCTGGAATATGCTAGGTTGGATAACCCTGGTTCAAAGGAGCAAAATGTATTGTTCGTCTTTTCTCAAATGCCAACCAGAGTCACATTTTTAAAAAAGTTGCTGCTGTGAAAAGATACATTTGCTTTCCTTTGAAGGGAATAATTTGTAATTAATAATCAAAGCTGGCTAAAGGGCTACACAAAAAGAATTAGAGACCTGCTTGTCCTTTCATGGATCTTACAGTACAATGACTACTACTTCCCTGGAAATAATTACAGCTATTTTATACGGAGCAGAGCAACTGCAGTTGCTCAGCAGCAAACCATGCGGGGTAGCAGTTTCCCAATTTCTGAGGACATCTCCACACACTCCCTTAATCAGCAGAATCTGATTCAATGAACAAAAAGCCAGCAATCGAATAGGACCTACTGTACTCCTGTGTTTTAGTTTCTCCTAAGCCACAACCTTTCAGGCAATGCTAACGGTCCTGAGTCATCACTTACCCCCAGGCAGCATCCCTCGGTAGTGGAATCAAAACTGCTCACTGCAAAGTCTCTTTTGACAGCTTCGCGACCGAGCCCAGCATCCTTAAGTCATGCCCTGCATCCCGAAACCACGCCCATCTAGTAGACTACAACGGCTCTGCAGCCCGCTTTACCGGTCGCTGCCGCTCGTTTCCACTCAGCCTTTCTTCACGTTGCAGTTTCCTGCCCCCCCAAAGCCTTCCTATCCGCCCGGATTCCACGCAACATTCCCGGCCACGTCATCCCTAGGCTTTTATCTATTCATTGCACCAACAATGACCGCGCCCCTCACCTGGATGCAAGCTTTGTAGCAGCTGCCACCAGCCGCACGCCCCTTTGCTCTCCCCCATGGGCCACCGCCTCCCTCCCTCCGCCATGCCAGGCTTCCCCCCATCCATCTCTCAGGGCACTCGCCCACTAGGAATTGTCCGCTCACGCTGTTGGTGGTTTCCTAGACTACCGGTAGTAACGCGCCCCTCTATTGCCCAGCCTTCCGGCTAATTCTCCCTTCCCTCCGTGGCCTTCTTTGTGAAGGGCAAGGAAATTTTCACGGAACGGCCATATTTCTGAGGGGCAAAAAGACAAGGTTTTTCCTCTCAACAGAAGCGAGAGGCTGCGGTGCTGAGGCTCTCCAGCGCTCCCTTCATCTGCGGGGAGATGCCTGCTGCAGCTCCCAAGAGACAAAATTTGGGAAAGGATGCTGAAATAGGCAGTACCCTTGAAGAAGAAGGTCAAAAAGGCTTTTACGAAACAATAAAAACTGTTTTCAAGTGCCTGACTTTTGTTTTGTTCAGTAAGGAACGCAATGAATGTTTCTTTATGGCTACTGGATAATTTTGGATGAGATGGCTGAATTTTGTTGAATGATATTTATGCATTGAAGTTGTTTTTAAACTGTCTGTTAAAATCTTACCCGCCCCCCCCAAAAAAGTGATAGTGATCCACAGTAAGGAAATGAGTATTTCATTTCAACTCCATGTATGTTTGAAGCAATTCCATTAATAATAACAATTTATTAAGCTTGTATAATGCCCTGACTCTTAAGCCTCTAGGCAGTTTCAGAATCCCTACATGTGTTAGGGGATTTAGAGAAAGCCATTTAAAAAAAAAAAAAAGCCACCAGTTTCAAGGAACATGGAAGATGTAAGTCGTGCATTAAGTATGACCCTTTTTATTGCCAGAAACATTCAAACTAACTAACAGAAAATAGAC